CGTAACAGCTAGGCAAGGTACACAAGAAAACATTTGCTGAAATTGTTCGAGCTTATTTGAAGACAATTGAGGAAAACAACACTGACTGTAGATCAGCTGTTTCACTGTTTATTGTTGCGGGAAGTTTTGAATAGGACAACAACCTTAAATAGACCATATTATTGCCTTGTTAGATTGTTAATGGATTCAATCGTCATTTAAATTTTAGCATGATTGTTTCAAATTATAGGAGAAGTGAAAATAATTCTTAATATACATGGACAGTTGACGAAAATAATATTCTTAGTTTGATTTCCCTAATTGCATGATGGACCAACAAAATTGTGGTTTGCTTTATGTAGAAACCATGCAGTTGTGTCACTCTACGCTAAACAAGTGTTCAATTTGCGTCATTGGCTTGTTTACGATTTACACATCTGGCAGAAATTACTTCACTCCAAGTGCGACTTACACAATAAGCCACAATAAGTTTAGCATTGGCGGATCAGGAATCTAAATCAACAATTGAACAGCTGTTTATAACAACAGTAGATTGATTACACTAAAGTAGATATCTTAGCAGTTTGAATCAACTGGAACCAGTCATTCACTTACAGTATAGAAAACATAGTTTAGAGTCAATCAGGGAGTTTGATAAGCCTGTCATGGTTCTATTTTCTCGTATATTTTCATAGAATACTATAATTATAGTTGATAGATATTGTACTATGTTGTACACTTAATCTATTACTTAATTATCTTGCTTGGTTAGGCTTATCCAAAAAGTCCATTAGCTAGGAAACTAACTGCAAGGAATTTTATCTCCAATTTAATTTTATTGAATATGCGCCGATGAACATAAGGGTATATTCAATTAAAAAAATGTCCTGGGTTGTTTAGTAGCATTCCATTGTGTTAAATATAACAAATTCAATATACAGCGTTATGTCATTTGAAAGAATGTATACTTTCGACATGATTATTAATAATTTCCTGTTTTAAATCGTGCATTAAGACACCTGCAGCTAAAGTTCTACTTAAACCAACTTACAGGAACCCTACCAAACTTCATACTATAAAGGCACTTTATCAAAAATCAAACAAAAACCAAACGTAGGCCTACCTATTTTCAAAAGTAAATAATTGAACGTTATACACTATAATTTGCTATTACTTTCAGTGGTTAAATATATTATAGAATTCCTAAAATATAAAAACACAGTGTTTTGAGACGAGGTATTTTTTATAAAGGCAGTGCCTGACGGTAAAGCATTGAAGTTATGACCTCTCGGAATGTTTAGGTCAAGAGGTCAAACTGTTAAAGCTATCTGCGTGACTAATGATGTCCTCAAGATCAACATGTGTGGTCGACGAATATATAAGTACGTATAGTTCCATGGATTAAAGATTAAACTCACTTATAGATCATCCTTAGGGATAATCTGAAGCCAATTTGAGATTTGTTTATGTCTATGCTAAGTCTTCTCTTTACTTATTTAAGTCTTTCTGTTTTGCTTATTTAAATTATTACAGCAAAAGAAATCGATACACTTGTAAATTACTACTCATCACGTGGTATACTAACCAAAGAGTAATTTATTGTATAATCAATGGTGAAGAGCTCACAGTAAAACCATAAACTAACCAACATGAAGATAGAAGTACTCAAATTATTAGTTGATACAAAGCGTCACTGATCATGAAACACACAATTGAAGCTTCAGGTTTTACAATATGATGATGTTGATGTTAATTAGGCTATGTTATTGTTATGAAGATAAGGGTCCAGTAAACAGTGTGATAAGACTTATTTTTAACGAATTAACTTTGTTTAAATTTAAATTAATTCAATATTTTTTTTGCTAAAGAGCAAACCTTGGTTGGAGAAAATGTAAAAAAAAAATTCTTCAGCTCAAAAAACAAAAGGTTTTTTTAATCTAGGCATCAAGGAAAATGTCGACAAGTTATTGTTTGTTTTTTTTTTTTTTTATTAGATGTAGCCCTGTTAACTCTCCCTTGAATTATAAAATGAAGGTCTCCGGGTTGATCCTAACGAGATCAGATGCATCTCGAATGTTTGGGACTGGAACACTATCCTAAATCATTTGGGGCATACTAAATTATCCTGGCAAAATGCTTATTGACTTCGCTTTTTTGTGTACAATATTTTTACACACATTCACTTATAAAATAAATATTTTGTATATAGGCCCCATTATTGATCTGCGTTAACTTCTTATTCGGTTTGATCTTAAGATCACGAAAAAATAATTCTACCCAACTCATAAAATCTGGGTAGAATTTCCGAGACACTAATTCCAAATCCGACTGTCGGAGTGTCGGGGCCGAAAAAGATAGATTGTCGTCTTGATTAGCCCCAGACGACGGCACCTTGGGGCAAAAAATGGGCCGAGCTTTAGATGAGGGATGGCTGTTTAGTGTCGCCAGCCCTGTTGATTATAACAGAACACGACTTGACATGTTGACATACATGGGATGATAAAGGTCTATAGAGGCTGAGAAGTTTTAAATGCGCATCTATCCAGCCTAATAAGAGTTTAAAAACCTGTTGAGCAAGAATCGAAACAAAATTTTCTAAGGAAGGGTATGAACTAATGAAAGGTCAACTTGTCCAAGAACACGCATTTGAGAATTTTCTTGAGAGGTCTTGTAAAAAGTTTAAAATTGAATGGACACCGGAGTTTTCCTGATACTTAACCCTAGATTATTGACTATTTTCGGTACTGAGATTTTTAGGAGCCGAAATTTCTCCAGTAGGCCTACTCCAAAATTTCTCCAGTATGCTTCGGCAAGGGTGATCAAACGGGTACTTTTCCAACATATAATGTAGCCTAACTTACAGTATTTATTTTGGAACAAACAACCTTCTAAGGAAACCTCCATTAAGAAGAAAACCTTGAGTTGTTTACATTCTTATATCAACACTTAAACAGTTTTTAACACCAAGGAAAATTGTTAAATGAGATTTGGAAGTGACATTAAGACAAAAAGGAATCCCAACCTTCCATTCTGATTGTCGTGTGAAATATTTAAAGTGAAAAAAATATTAAAGGTCTAAACTATTTATTTATTTTTGTTCTTTAGCTTTAGGATTTTGATTATAGGTCTTAAGCTGGGTTTTCCTAGACGCGGAGTCGGCCAGCGGAGAGCGGACAACGGAGAGCGGAATTGAAATTAACATGGCATTCCGCTCCGCTGCTAGGAAAACAGTAACATTAAATTACCTAAGACAAGCTGAGTCCGCTCTCCGTTGTCCGCTCTCCGCTGGCCGACTCCGCGTCTAGGAAAACCCAGCTTTAACGAGGAAAACGAAGCAGAACTTGTCTTAAAATATTTACAAAATACATTTTTTTAACTAGAACATTCCACACTCATATTTTGACCACATTCAAGTTCATCGTTGTGTCAATGAATACAGTTTGTGTATTCATTGGTTGTGTTCCTAACTGGTAACAATAACAACAACATTGTTGTAATCAGCTGTTGATATTATTGCATTGTTACCATCGTCCTATACGATCAAACATATTACCTCCTACACCTGTACTGAACAATTCAAAAACTTTCACAAAATAACCATGTATTTTCCTCAAATTCGTCGTTTGAGCAGTTCCCACTAATAGTTAGGCCTAGTGATAAGATAAAGATGTTTCACACTTCTTCCGCCAACAAAATGGCGACATAACCAGTTGGATAAGACGTGCAACCACGATTGCGACACGTTGGTTGTTGGTTGGTGTTTCTCTTCAGATATAACGGCGTCTTTATTACACCAGCTCGAATTGGCCACAGCGTTGCTGAGGCGCATAGCTTATTCGAAACTATGTTTTGATCAAGGACATTGAACCCTGTATGGAGATGGTAAAAAATTGCAAACTTTTATCTTGGATAAATAAGTGAATAGCTTGCGATGAAGGTGTGCTATGACGAAATTAGCCTACTTTCAGATTTCATACACAGAATACCTTTCCACCAACCAAGATATATTTCTGATGAAGTTGATGAACATTAAGTTATCTATTCTGTTACCAGACTTGGCAACACCTTCTGAATCTAAATTTCGTTAAGTTTGCAAGTTCATTTTAAATTAGTGAGTTACTGAATGTGCAGACTGGTCAAATAAAATTATCTGTGCATCTTTGTTACAGAGGAACTTTATGATCGAAGGAAGCTCTGTGCGGCTTCGAAACAGCCAAAATCCTACTTTACTTTTTTACTGTTTTCTCAGGATCGAACTGGCGGTCTATTAGATTGTCAGACAAATACTCACTCATTTTCGTATTTGTGTCATTGTATTTCTTCAGAGCCTATGCTTACTGGGAAAAAGGCTATTTCATATTAAATTTGGTTGAATAAATTAGGTTTTGAGTCTTTAGAGGCGGATTTTCTTACCTTTAAGAATCAGATTTAAAAACACTACTTTGATTATAGAACTGTATTCTAGGAATGATAAAACCAATGTTTCTGTAATCAGTTTGATCGTTTTTGTTTCTCAGACTATATACGAGTGACGCGCACCACTTGACCTATGTAAAATCTTTTCAAGTAGTTGATAAGAGATAGGTACCATACATTTAATGCATGTTTAAAAAGTGATTAATCTGTTGTTATCTATGATTGTTTAATGCTACGATCATTGCCGGTACACAGTTTTCATCCTAGAAGTGATTATTTTTGTTACCTACGTTTTTCCTCTCCGTCTGCTATAACAAGATTTGTATAAGTTTTGAGCTTGTAAAATGTGGAACGTGTATAATATTAGCGAAAATCAAACCAATCATTTGAACTCAATAAAATCAACATTGGCTGAAATCAATAGAGCGTAGAGTAATTTACTTTCAATACGGCCAAATAAAAGCCCTTTGCAAAGCATATTTGATTCACTCTAGTGGAAGGAGGGTTCTACATGCTTTATTCTTCTGCCTTGTATTTCTTCACCCTTCTCCAAACTCCCTTGGGTTACAATAGGACAAAAGACCAGAAGGGGTTCAAACTCTTACCTGTAAACGTAAGTCCCAGGTTTTCCGGTTTGGTGAGATGTTGGAACAGCTTTTTGTTTTGGGTCAAGCACCTGGTTCCAAACGGTACACTTATTTGATCCTTCAGGCACAGACACATAATAAAAAATACACAAGTTTAATGTTTTGATTTCCTAACACAGTGACACTTCGGTTGTCAACTTTGTAAACACTCGTTTTAACTAATAAGAGTTGAAAGCTAAGTTCACATTGCTCATTAACGTTGTTTAATTAAAAATTGTTTAATTAAAACAAAATTTTAATTAATGTTTACCCTATTTATTTTTTGTTTAGTGTAAGCGACCAAGAATCAATTTGTTACGAATGTTTTAATTTAAAAGGTATTTCTAAAAGCCTTCACACAATTACATAAATCGTAATAAAACTCATCCCTCATTACTCACAAGGGTGTAATAAAATCCATTGATTACACTTGCGAATATAGGTCATCACACCTGCACACGATCCACAGCTGTTATTGATTCACGGAACACTGCACTGGTTTCCACAGATACTCCACGAACTACGGACACTGTTTTGATTGTGAAAATCAAAATAGGTAATCGCGAAATTCTAATCTTGCAGACAACTCTAACCTAACCCCCCATGGCTCTAGCCTCTGCTCCAACGGTTGCCCAGCCTAAACTGAGCTCTGAATTCAAATGTGTCGGAGATTGGTTCGTGTAGGCGACACAGAGCGCTGAAGTCGCGTCAATCGCAGCTTTGAACAGCTCTGTGAGCCGATCATTGTAAAGATTCGGCTCAATTTGAGAATGAAGAACGATTTAAAAAAAAATAAATATCGAATATCGATGTTCCTCGTGGCTTTATAAAATTGTTATACAACAACCATACTACAATATAAAATTGGTACGTTAAAATATCTTTTAAATAAGGCTTACTGCAGGAACACAATTTAAATCATTTTATCCCAGTTATCTTTACCTCCTCCATTGCTTGAGACCAGCTTGCATGGATAAGATGCGTCCAAACAATTTGATATACTCTATACATATGTACAATATTTATATTTCTTCCGAGATGGACTTATGAATGTCCCACAGATGGCGCAGACCGATTTTTGAAAAACTTACTCAAACTATTTAGGGTTTTTCTCTCATGTTTAATACAAATCATATTTGTCATATTTACAAATGACCTAAAAATATACTTAACACAAGCAGTTCATTCATCCACAAAGGATATTAAATTATTCTTAATTTTCTTATTGATATAATATTTATGTCGATTGTATTATTTATATTATGCTCATTAATGGAAGAATATTAAATTATTCTTAATTTTCTTATTGATATGATGATTTATGTCGATTGTATTATTTATATTTTGCTCATTATGTTTAATGACTTTTTGATGTTTTGTATTCAAATAAGTTAAATAATCAATTAATAACGATATAGGGCTGCATTTTGTTGATAACAAAATTTTCGATCGACTATATTGCTGTAGTGTCATTCTCCATCTAAAAATGTTTATATTCAAATAAAAAATATTAAAGGCAATAAAATGTTTTACCAACTAAAAAATATTATCTGAGTATTGTTACAAATCGGTTATATGGGCTATTAAATAATAACAAATTATATACTAAATTTCCTCCTGTTAAATCAAAATTAAATCTTTATTAAGTCACTGATGCAGCTCGCTCACTATTGAGCTGATCTTTTCAAAGACTTGTTCACCCAAACAGTTCGCCAGAGATTTATCATGGCTGTAAACTCACATTTCATCAGTTTTACGACTAACAATCATCCGAACCAAACTGTCGTAAAGCCGTAAAACAATCTTGTCACGCGTTTGGGAAAGATATGCCTTCATCCCGATTGAATTCACGGCCCGTTTGATTAAATTTTGTGGGCTTTTCCCCTCCAAAACAATCGGATTGTGGAGTGTGGTCCATTTACGTTTAGGAAACTAAAGGTCAAATTTCGTTCGTGGAACGACTATGTTTTTGCCATACATAGAAAAATCATACATTAATATGTAAATATTTACTTTATCAAGTAATTTAAATATCAACCATTCATATATTAAATCTATGAAGTTCACCAAATATGGCCAAATAAAGGGCCCATCTTGGGCAGTTTCGTACATTTATTAACATATATTTTACCTTATTTTTTTTTTTGCTATATAAATGTGTATAAATATTGAGCACATGCTACCTGCTACCCAAATAATGTAATTTACTATCGTTAATCAACTATTTAGATGGATAAAAAAGGGTTTTTAAATTCCTTTTTGTAAAAAAAAAGGGAATCGAAACCGATAAATATAATTCATAACAATAGCCTACCTAAGGAAAAATATACCTAACAGTTTTCATATTTACGTCATCGAAAGTCTTTCTACAGACACTGCAAACATTGTAGTTTTTGACCTAGCGGCACAGGTATAAATTATTTGATCTTCCGGGACTGTTGACTTCCAGCAACATTCCCCTTTAAATACTTAATGATTACCAAAAAGCTACTCTATATTAATATTAAATCCCGAATCTTCAATCATACAGTAGACACTCATTTTGTTATTTAAAGCCCACATCCAGATCTCAGCTCGGCGGGCCATTTAAACTATGACGTCAAAGATCAGCTGTTCCGCCGGAACTGGTGCATATGGAGCTGCTACTTCCGGTCCACAGCTCCCCGTGTTCCCGGGCCGGGTGTCACTTCCGGTTCTGTCTAAACACATTTAAATGCCCGCTTTCCCACAGCAAATGCTCCCCTTCCCATGTGTTGGGGCCTATTCTTGGAGCAACAAGACCTTATGGGAATTGAACATACACACTTGGTGACAAGATAGTTGATGCAATCTTAACTTTGGGTACTACCAGGGTTGCCACATTAGGTCAGGAAAAATTCGGGACATTGCCCCTCTCCCTCCCAGATTAACATAGGCATAAATACGGGAATAAGGAACCACAATGCCTAAAAGTAGGCTTGAAGATTTCATATTGCGAAATATAGAGTCTTTTAAGTATGTTTTATGACATTAAAGTGTGCTTTTTTGACTAAACATTCTGTATAGTAAAGGTGAAGTAGAAGACATATATTCGTTGGGATCATTACTAGGTATATTTTTATACTATGCATTGCAGTGTAGGGCATGACAAACCTACATAATTAAGTGAGGTAGCCAATTAATTCCGTCAATACGCAAAACTAGTTCAGGTCTTTATTAAATATCACAACAATAACTATCATTTCCCTTATATTCGACCAATCAACTATTTCCCGTCTCTAAAACAGGTATACAATCTACATAACCGCAAATGTATGAATGAGTTTAATTGAGGACTTCGGATTGTTCGGCTAAATAACACCCGTGTTAGGCAAAATCCTCTCCGTTAGTTCTAGGTTTGGAACAGAGCCGAGAGAATCCTACAATGGGGTCAGCAACGACTACGGTGGTAATCATTTTAAATCAACCCTCAGAGTGCCAACTAGTCTCCAAAAGTAGTTGAATTTAGTGATTCCATTTGAATTTCATAATTGAGTTTTGTAAGATTAAATTTACTGCGTTGAAATCTGGGAAAGTAGAAATCATGAATCCAGCAATAATAATAATGTATTCTTGTATAGTTAAGATGCAAATTAAATCGGTTTACAAATACTTACACACATACACCATATATTGTACCGTAAATAAATAAATATTGTAAAATTAACACAAATATTATATAAATAACAAATATAAATATGTATATGCAAGGCAAAAAACATATTTAATCGTTTATTCCAGTCAAATTTAAAATTTACAAAAAGTAGTTCAGCGAAAACTACAAACACAGAACCCAATACAGTACATGTATTTTAATAATTTTAGGTATTTTATTTCTATTATAAAATTATTTTTTGACAGTTTGTGTATTTTGATATCAATAATTCAATTCAAATGAAAATGACAAACACGCTTGATCTATTCCCAGCGTTTAATTTAGTCAGATATGAAGCGTTGACTCAAATATAGACACCAATATTCCAATATTACCTTCGTGGACACATGCCATTGCAAATATTTATTTTTTCTGACGAACATTGAAATTTTATTTTCTTAATACCGGCAATTTAGAATGATGATTTAGTTAAACCGCCAATAGCATGATAAAATCGCCAATAGCACAGTTTTTGCATAGAATGTTTAGTGATGATTCAAAACTGACTCCTAATTTTGTAGATAGCCAAAATAAATTGTTTTTGCCATGGATTAATAAAAGAATAAATCTTTTTTCTATTTTTTACAAACTATATTTAAGATTTTGTCATAAAATTTTATTTTGAAGATTTAGACACCTATTCTTTCAGTAATACTCACCACTATAGTAGTTTTCCCTTATATACGGTAATTTCAAACAATCCGGACAGTAATACTTATTTTATCATCAATAAATCAGTGGCCTTACTGTATTTAAATTGCAATAATTTCCACATATAAATTAAATCTTTTACTGGATATTCAAACAAATGGTTTGCTCGAATGTTTTAAATCCATGTATCAAGCGAATGTAAACATTTAGTTTTGGAAATTATGATTGGTCCACCAATAATTGATCAAATGTATTAAAAATCTTTAAAAGCTTATTTATCGTAAAACATTGTCTTTCCTCAAAGCTCAAAGTTAATTCAACATGCGAAACTAATTTCGCAAATTCACAATCATTATCGTGTATTTCCCCTAATTCCAAAACGAGCCACGTACAGACAGTTTTGAGGTTAAGGGATTAACTAAAGAATTTTGTGATTGGCAACCAAGAGGAGATTTACGGATAATCTGAACTCAGTCCATTACATGTAGAGATTGGTCCCCTCCCCCCCCCCCCCATCAACCTGTATACGCTACCCTACCTATCAAATGCACTCTCCAACCCCTGACCTGATAATTCATCAACAGGCATTAGCCATTATCCTGTAATGACATTGATAAGTCGCTTGATTTATCCTTCAGCAATGCACATTTACACAAGATATTCGTACAGTTGCACGTCCACTTATAACTTCCTAACAAGTAAGTAAATTGGTTATTCAATAAGATTATTAAATAAATTTTGAATTGCTTTTATTTGTTGGTTATGATTGTACAATTTAAACTATTTTATTTTTATTTATTGGTTATTTTTTTGTAGGTCTATTAATTAATTTGTGTATTTTTTATATTTATTTAAGTTTTTTTCAGTCATTAGATTTTTAAATACTATTGTCTACACATACCCACAGTAAAATCCTCATAGTGTGTTATTTCTTTAGTTGTTTATATTTTAGTTTGCTTAATGGTACGATATCAGCTATTTTACACATAAATACCACCTAATTTTAAATTATTTTTATTTATCTGAATATTAAAGTTGTAATTTATGTGCAGTAGTTGGTGGATTTTGTTTTGATTTCCTAATTACTTTCTTGTGTCATGTAAAACCCAAAGGCCATGGAACAAATCCTACTGTAAAAGCAACATATGGTTCCCTCACTTGCATGTTTAGTTAATTAACTCTTTGCCTCTTCGTGTGATAACATTTGCATCTCAACTTTATATTTTTCAATAATCTCAATTTTTTTATTGACAGCTTTCCTGTGCAACGGATAGATTTGTGAACTAACGATGTGATTGAAATTTAACAAATTATTAATGTGGGGG